GCTCAGAAGCCTCGAATGCTGATAGAACTACAGAGAGCAAAACACAGTGTTCATAAGGTTTCAGAGGGAAATGAGGACTCCACTGGGAACTGAACTAGAGGCATTCATAATCATTTTGTCTACATTTCATCTATGCCCTGCGATGCTATGAGGTGTCAACTGAAATATGACTAGATAATCTAGTGAATGAACTTTCAAGGTGGCCAGCATTCAGGTTATAGCATGAGTATGTGTGACTGCTTCTATCCAGGTTTCCAGGAAGAATAAGGAGCAAGGAGTAGAACAACGATTTTGAAAAATTTGACCAGAAAAGGAGCATATTTAATTTTGAGTCCACGAGGGCACAGTTGTTAGAGACTGGTGCCATTAAAGGAGCAAGAACTTCACATTTGAACAGTAAGAAAGATCCTTGAGACTACTTCAAGAATAAGAGACACCATCCACCCCAGAGTCAAGAGCATAAAAGCACAGGCTTGTTTGAAGGACTTTCCACCAAGACCAAGTGACCCTATGCTCACCAAAGGTTCCTAAGGAAGTGTTGCCCAGGATTAATGTTACCATGCTCATCTGCTCATGGGGGTAGACCTTGGTATTGCCTATCCAATGCTGATTTTACAGGCATGGAGGATTGAAGAATTACAGCGTTATGGAAGCTTCTACTTAGACTTCAAGGAAAATCTGGGAGGTCAGAAATTTCTGTTGGCAGTCCCTGGGAGCTGGTACTTGAAGCCATGAGAATGAACTCTATGAAACAGTGACAGCTCTGGAAAGTGGAGGTACCAGGAATGCAAAATATTTATCAAAGTAAGCTACATACAACTAGTGAAGCCAATGCCAGTGAGATGTGGGATGAGAGTGGGAAGGTGGGGTGGGGTGGGGTGGGTGGGAGTGCGGGGTGGAGGAGGGGGTTGGCCAACCCCTTAGGAGCTCACATCAGGCTACTACATGCCATGGATATTGGATATAGAGATACAAATTTGTAAGTTTGTCCTACTAGGTTTTGATCATGCTTTGGTCACATCCTTCCTCTCTCTCTAATTCCTCTCTTCTGTAAAGGAAACATATACCCTGTCCCACCATTGTAAGTCTGAAGTATGTTGTGTTCCTTCTGCATCTCCAGAGACACTTCAGAAGAGTTTGCCTTAAGTCTCAGAGCAGATTTTCAACTTGGGTTTTTGAGACATGGTGGGACTTTGAGACTCTGAGAGCCTTGGAAGTGGGGTACATGCATCGAGGGACTGTCTTAGTTGGGGTCACTATTGCTGTGATAAAAACACCATGACCAAGGCAACTTGGAGAGGAAAGGGTTTAATTAGGCTTACACTTTAGCATTGCTGTTCGTCATCAAAGGGAGTCAGGACAGGAACTCAAACAGGGCAGGCGTCTGGAGGCAGGAGCTGATGCAGAGTCCATGCAGGGATGCTGTTTACTGGCTTGCTCCCCATGGCTAGCTCACTCTGATTTCTTATAGAACCCAGGACCAGCAGCCCAGTGGTGGCACCACCTACAATGGACTGGGCCCTCCTCCATTAATCATTAATTAAGAAAATGCCCTACAGGCTTGAGTACAGCCTGATCTTATGGAGGCATTTCCTCAATTGAGGTTCCCTTTTCTCATATCTGACTCTTAACTTGTGTCAAATTAACATAAAACTAGCCAACACAGCGATGGACATGCTTTTTTTTTTTTTTTTTTTTTTTTGAAAACCAGGATTGAAATGTTCTGCTTTAAATATGAAATATCTCCAGTAATCTTACATGCTGAAGGCCTTTTCTCCAGCTTGTTGAACTCTTTGGCGAGGTGTTAGAAACTTAAAGAGGTAGGCTCTAACTGGAAGAAGTAGGTCATGGCCTTGAAAGTTGTATCTTGGCCCCAACCCAATTTCTGTGCTTTCATGCTGCCATGATGTGAATATGGCTCCACCAAAACCTTTGCCCATGATATCCTGCCTTACCCTGAAAACATGGAGACAACTTACCATGGTCAGTAACCTCTGGAACCATGGGCCAGATAGATCTCTCCTCCTGTATGTTGCACTTTTAAGTTCATGGTTATTCTATTATCAATATGTTGAGTTAAGATTCTGTGCCTCTCTTGATTTGCTTGGTCACAGCTTCCTATTTAATAATACTATTAACACTTGGGAATGTTAGATCACAACACAGAAATCAATGCTTATGTTGTGTTTGGAGCAAGGCTTGTTGAACTCTAGGGCCTCCTTGGTGGCTGTGGCCAGAACGTTGTGACGTTCCACACGTTCCAGGTCCATCATATACTTTGGGACATGTCCTAATGATGCCTTTCCTCATGTTTTAGACCTCTAGTCATTTTCCCCTGAGCTTATCCTTCTTGTTGCAAGAGTGGTTGGCTCTCCTGGGAAGCTGCAGGCTGCAGGTGGACAGCTGGGGAGGAGTGTTGGCTCCCATCCCCTCACTGGCTCAGCTCATGCACAGCTAATGTTGCTGCTGCGCTGGGATCTGGCTTCCCTGGTGCCAGAAGAGAAAGGTGGCAGGCATTGGAAAGTGTGGGGGAGTTCACGGCTCCTTTAGGAGCCTTTAGATGATGGGTGCTGGGAACTTCATTTTTCTCCCAACTTCTGGTGTCTTTCCCAAACATGGCAGGCTCCAAACTACTCTCTGGGGACAGGGTGAAAGACCCAGCAGCCAACAGTCTTTGTTGCAAAGTGTGGCTAGCTCAGTGGCCTGTCTCCTTAGTTTTCCACCCCTTTCTTCTGTATTTTCATTTTGAGTCTTTTGGCCATCGTATTTTTATTTATCATTATTGTATGTATGTGCATATTCTTGAGTTCATGTGTACCACATATGTACAGAGCCGGCAGAGGACAGAGAGAACAATCAGGTCCCCTGGAACACGTAGTTAGATATGGTTATAAGCTGCCATGTGGGTGCTGGGAACCAGATCCTGCAGCAGTGTGTTAACCACTAAGCCTTCTTTCTCTTCAGCCTGGCTTTTATCCATGTTGAGGTGAATTTTATTATGATTTTTCTGCATGAGGACATCCAGATTTTTCAACACCATTGATTAAACAGACCATGTCCCTCTATTTGTGTGTTCCTGATACTTGTTGAAAACTCATTGACAATAAATACTTGTGTTTATTTCTAGGCTTTCTGTCTGTTTCACTGGTCAATGTGTCTGTTTTGATGGCAGTGCCGTGTATTTTGATTACAGTAGTTTTCAAATCTATATTAAAGCCAGGGAATGCTATGGCTTTAGCTTGTTTCTTTTTGTACAAGATTGCTTTAGCCATTTGGAATCTTCTTTGGTTCAATACAAATTTCAGAATTGTTTTTCTATCTCTGAGGAAAAACATTGGAACTTTGGTTAGAATTTCACTGAATCAGTAGATTGCTTTGGGGAGCAGCAATATTTTAGCTTTCTCACCACACGGGCTGTATTTTCCACTTAACTGTGTCCCCTCATTTTCTTTGAGAAGTGTTATACAGTTTTCATTGTAAAGATCTTTCATATCCTTGTTACTCTTCTTTAAAAAAAAAAGGTTTACTTGTTTATTTAAAGTTTTTTTTTTCATTTTACTCACTGCCTAGTGTTCCCCTCCCCCCTTCTTACACTCCCCACCACTTACCATCCCACCCCCACCCACTCCTCATAGGGGGTAAGGCCTCCCTTGGGAATTCAGCATAGTCTGGCATACCAAGTTGGGGCAGGCCCAGGCCCCTCCTCCCGCATCAAGGCTGAGTAAGGCATGGCACCATAGGGAATGGGCTCTAAAGTTCATGTACTTGGGATGGGCCCTGGTCTGATTGCCAGGACTCACAAACAGATCAAGCCACACATTTGTCATCCTCATTCAAGGGGCCTAGTGCGGTCCCATGCAGGCTCCCCAGCTGTCAGTCCAGAGTCTATGAGCTCCCACAAGCTTGGGTCAACTGTCTCTGTGGTTTTTCCCATCATGATCTTGACCAGCCTTGCTCCTATAATCCTTCCTCCCCTTCTTCAACTGAGCTCCAGGAGCTTGGCCAAGTGCGTGCCTGTGAGTCTCTGCATCTGCTTCCATCAGTCACTGGATGTAGGTCCTATGATGACAGTTAGGGTAGACACCAATCTGATTGCAGGACCCTCTCCACCATTGCTATGAGTCTTAGCAGGGGATGTCCTGTCCTTGTGGGTTCCTGATTTCTCCCTAACCCCATAATGGCTCCCTCTATCAAGATATCTCTTCCATTGCTTTCCCTCACTGTCCCTCCCCCAACTCAGCCATCTCAAACCCTCACATTCTGACCCTCCACCCCTCCCTGAACTTTAAGTATTCTATTTAATTTTTGGTGCCATCAATCCTTAATTTATTATGCCAATAGCTTGTTGTTGTTTTATTTTTGGTATGTTGTTTTGTAACCTGTAACTTTACTTTTTTTTTTTTTTGGACATTTTTTGGTGGGTTATGAACTTAGTGTTAATGTATATGTTGTGGGGATCCAACCTGGAGCCTGTGCATGACAAACGTACATTCTACCAATGAGTTACTCTCTAGCCCTTACTCTAGGAACAGGACTGGTACCCTAGACCCTCCACTGGCCTTGAATTCTCCAGTCTCCAGCTTCTCCCATCTATATGCTGGATTCCTGGTGTGCACCACCACCTGTACATGGAAACATGGTTTCTTGCACTTTACTAAAATATTTTTCTATCTCACCAGTTGCATTTTCAGGCTTACCTGCTGTCATACACACACACACACACACACACACACACACACACACACACACACACACACACACGCATGTCAGTGTATGCCTCGTAATATCTCTTGCATAATTGCCCCACCTACCCTCTGAAGTGCTGGTATTCTAGCCTGCACCGTCATTTGAGTCTAGTCATTTACAGCCGCGATATTTTTACTTTCCTCTTCATCGAGTTCCACTAGCACAGGCAACGTCAATACTGCTCCTACCGCAGGGCACCAGCACTTACCCGAGATATCAGGAGTTCCACAACTCTCACCTAACATTTCATATCAAGCAGGAACAGAGCAAATTTATTTTGATTATTTACAAATTATGTCACAAAACCACCGATCCACTTGCCTTTGGTGGGTGAATTTGACTTTCTTTTGTTTTATGGAGTGGCTTTTTAAAAGTTTCCTTCCTCCACTCCCAGAGAAAGATGCAAAGGTTTTTTCCATCTTCACTAAATTGGGAGAGTGGGAGAGGATTAGCAAGGGGCTTGCTAGCGAATATCTTTTACTACCCCCCCCCCCTTTAGTGTTTGATTAATGTACCCCACAACCTGAAGCTCCTACTCATATTCGGAAACTTTCATTGCTTCAAATTTGAAGCCTTATTAGCTGTTATCGTTTTGAAGATTTCCAAGGAAGCTAGGAAAGTGGTCCAGTTAGTTCACAAGCGGGTTTCCAGGGAAGAGGACGGTTTCCTGCGTGTCCCCAGGAGCTATCCAAGAAGGACTAGCAGGGAGGACCAGCCCACTGTGCTCTGATGTCGCAGGGACGCCCCCACCCCCCACTCCCTGGGTTCACAGTCAGGCCGGGGAAGCTGTGGGCAGGCTCGACCTCAGCCGGAATTCCCCTGGGTGATACTTCCATCCCGGCCCACGCCCACAGCGCTCCCTCCTAGAGCCGCCGCGCCCGCCCACGCGGTGACGTCACCACCCGGGGGTCGGGCGTGCGCGGACCGTCCGCCCACGGAACCCTGGCGCGCTCGGTGCCGGAGCCGCGCACGCGAGGCGCGGGGCTACGCTCGCCAGCGGAGATCCGGTTCTCCAAGTTGGAGCCCGGCTCCGGCTGTGTAGGCTGTCGCGGGGAGAAGGGGCAGTGCATGGGGAGGAGCCGGTGCAGTGCTTCTGCGTTGGGCGTGCACCGAGAGTTGGGCTCATCTGCAGGAAGATGAAAAAGTGCGATGCGTTTAATTCTAACACAGGACACGTTTTAGACTACACGCCTAGAGCCTAAGGCCAGAGTCACCAAGTACAAAGTACCTGGGTGCCAGGCACCCAGGGAAGGCTTTGTTAATATTTTTTTCCAGTCTATTGCGACTATCAATAACTGTCGTGCAGGTATATTGGGTTCCTAATTAACTTGCCTAATGCGTCCTACTGAAAAGATGGAGTGGAGGTTTCTACGAGGTTGATGTGATAACAAAGTTCAAGGCTGCCCATCAGATGCTTGAAGTCATGATGGAAGTCAAGACAATGAACACGTTCTGCAAATACATGGCAAGTTGTGAGGTTTGGATTTTAAAAGGAGGAGGCTGCGCTGTAGAAGTAGGGTAGCCAGCAGGATACAGGGGTTTCAGGTAGATTTTGAATGGGATTTGGCAAGAGAGAGGACGGGCAGGACACTGGATTACTAGAGAAAGGAAAGGGAACCAGGGTGGACAACCTGATTGCCACCCCTCAACCCCTCTGTTTATGTGTGGCTTGCAATTGAAAGCACAGGTTATTCTACGGATGGGATTTTCTGGCAAAGTAATAGACTTGCTCTTGCCTGTTATCTAGGCCTAAGATATGATGTACAGGGACAGTGATACCCCTCTGAGTAACAACGAGCAACACGGCTGCTCACTTTAATCGTCAGAAACTTTGGTACCCACGAAAAAGATACAAGGTAAAGGATTTATTCTAACCCGTGTCCAGCTGAGAGAGGCCTCTATAGTGAATGCTAGTTCCTTACCTGTGGATCCACTTGAGAGAAAGAAACATTTATGCCCTGAATCCAGTATCTTTCCAGTGCTTGCACTCTGTCTTTGAAAGAAATGGTATGTTCTCTTTGTTTAAAGAAGCTTGGGCCCAGCAATTTGTTAATTTGCCTAGTTTTATATTGTTATTTCTATATCACCGTCCACACTACCCACTTTAGTAACTGATTCCTACCTTGTAATAGCCTATAATTATTTAATAGACATACATTTTATTTCCTGTGCAAGGTGGTAAAGTTCCAGGAAAGGACTGTTAGCAGTATTAATAGCTTCAAGTGCTGACTTATTTGATTTTTGCAAGTGTTTCTTAGTCTGTTGAATCTCCACCATCTAATACTTTGCTTGGCATAGATTATGTGTTCAGTAAATATCAATTAGATGATACCTCCTGGAGAGTAGAAGACCAACTTGTTTACTTCACGGTTTCCTGGTGCCCTAACAGTACTGTCTACTCAGCAAACACATGACTTTATTGCTGTTCCTTTCAGCAAGCAAAATAGAAAACTGTTGCCCTGTAAGGAACTGCACCCGCCCCCCCCCCCCCCCGGCATAATGCCCCAAGAAGTATGTCAAGAATTAATTGTGGATGGGTTGATTAGCCTCATTCTTATTCCTGACTCTCTTCTGCAGCGTGTATCTGCGTCTTTCACAATGAGTGATCTGAGGTTCTTTTGGTCAGGCTACCTAAGAAATTATTTTGGAAGCTGTCTAGTTTGACTTTTTGACTTCTGAAACAAAATAAACTCCAAGACAGCGGCAAAAAACAACAGTAGGCAGACCTATGTTCTTGACAATTCTAGTTACAAGATCTTAAATAACTGTGTGTGTGTGTGTGTGTGCGTGTGTGTGTTCTGCACCCCCTTTTATAATTAAAAGGGTTCCTGAGCCGGGCGGTGGTGGCGCACGCCTTTAATCCCAGCACTCGGGAGGCAGAGGCAGGCGGATCTTTGTGAGTTCGAGGCCAGCCTGGGCTACCAAGTGAGTTCCAGGAAAGGCGCAAAGCTACACAGAGAAACCCTGTTTCAAAAAACCAAAAAAAAAAAAAAAAAAAAATAAAAGGGTTCCTGAAGAAATGCTTTGGTATGGGTCTCTACAGTATGTAGCTCGCGGTTGAGTGCCATCACAGGGGTCACATCCCGAGCACTCCCTCAAATAAAAAAGCAAAAATAAAACAAACAACAACATTGTCCCAACCCAGTAATGGCAATTACTTAGATGAAACAGATTCTCATTCTTTCCCCCCTTTAACCCAATTAAATCTGTCCTGAGCAGAATTTGCAAGGGAATGAACGTCTTGAATGTACAAAACTTTGCTTCGCTGCAGAGAAGCGAAATGGTCACGTCTATATCGTAGTTGTGGCAACCTGTTCAGCTGGCAGAGTCTACAGGAGGGGGTGGGACTGGAACAGTGTGGCGAGGACTGCAGGTAATGTCAGCACGGAGAACAGTCAGAAGCTAGAGCAAATTATTTGAACATTTCCATCCAGTAGTTGCTAAATCTGGCCGTGTCCATTTATTAGCTGTGGGACGGTGGGTTAAGTTATTTTAACATTTCAGGGCATTGATTTCGTCACTTGTAAAATGGCGATGAGGAGGATGCGTTACACTGTGCCGCTGTAAACTGCTTGCAGAAATTCCTAGCACCTTGGCACAGAGCAAGCGCTCTGTCAAATGTTTGTTAAGTAAATACAACGTTTGCCTGGGTTACCTTCCACTTCTACACAGCTGCTAACTAACCGGTAAGCCCCACCTACATCCAAGTTAGGGGAGGCCGCTGTTTCCTACTGCAACGTTTTCCTGACCCACGCGGTAAAGCGCGCTTAGAGGAGCTGCGACACCGACCACGCTTTCCCCAGGTCCCCAGGCTGCCTGCCCATCACCCGATCGCCGCGTGGGCGAGACACACAAACCTTCCTCCCGCTCAGGTTCCTGGGCTCCAACCGAGCACCGCCGGGCCGGCCGGCTGTTCCGGACCCCGCCCACCAGTCTGGGAACGCCCCTAGGGGGCGG